TATCGTCTCTCTATTTCTTTTCTCTCCTCAATAAGATTGTCAGTCTGAATACCAACTTTGTAAGATTCAGTAATAATTTTCAGTAGTTACAACACTAAGGTATACTGATAATTTCTAGTTACTGTACTAATAGATCTAATGATAACTTCAAAATTCATCACCGGCAAAAAAAAAAAAAAAAAAAAATAAAACCCACTCACCGTGGTCAGGCCACATAACATTTCTTGCCTCTATTGTCTATTCACAACCTTTCAGTGCTCTGTCCTACCTCAGTCCTGACCATCTACAGTCTTACCATTCCTCTTATGCCACAAAGAAAATGACTTCATATAGTCATGCTAATGAAAACAAGGATGACATCTAGAAATCACACTAATGGATGCAACGATGTTACGATGTTCTCTTGTAGTCATACTCGGTCAGCGGTACATGACCTTCCAGTTTCCTATAGAGGTATTTCATTCTGAGACTATTTTGCTGTAATCTTTAGCCACCTTCGCAGCCGTTGGCAACATCGTTGGTCTGAGTTGATTCATAACACATTATATTTTATCAAGCCGAGTTTAGGATCCTGGCTTTCTTTTTTATCGTCGATGTCGTTGTTGGGAGACTATTCTTTCCCATCTTCGCATCGGGCACACACGTCTCACTCTTGGGTATCTCATGGTGAGGCGCCCGGTTCTACTCTGTGCGAACTGTCAAGTTCAGTTTGCCAAATTCTATTGGACTGTCCTGTCTATCACGAGCACTCAGAATTTACCTTCGACGTCGTCACCCCTCTAACACCCTTACTTTATCTTCCCTCCTCGCTGACGGCCCCACCTTTGATACAGATTCCCTCCTCGACTTTTTGAGATTTATTACACAACCTTTGATTGTACTTCCTTTAGCACTGCTCAACGCCCCCGCAAACTCTACCTGCGTTATACTCCTACCCTGCAGCGCGGTATGACCCTGGTGGATTTAGTGCTTGGTTTTGATTATAATAATAATTGTAGTCATACTAATGAATATAACGATTTGTAGTAGCCTTGTTGTTGGATACAATGATAATTTCTAGTCTTTATAAGGCATTTCTTTAGTTATGAAGCTCGGCCATTACTAGACACAGAGCAACACTGCCTTTGTGATCGTCAGTGACAAAGTTCCACTAACACAATGTTGTCATTAATCTTACCATGACCAAGTAAAAAAAATTGTTGTGCGAGCAAGCACAGCCTCGCACACCTGTTTACACAGCCTGCTCATCCACCTTAGTAAGCTACAATATACCAACATTTAAAGTCATCTGGGCCAGGGTGATCAAGGCATCAACCACCACAGGTACAAAGTCATATAGACATAATTTAATGATGCAAACCAGCATTGGTGTCTTATACCAGCTTTTAAGAAAATGCTGAGCTAAAAGGAGAGTGGTTCCATTGTTATGGTGGAAGGGAGACGCCGAAGCTTGGGTTCAAAATGGCGAGGAATGGATAGGCTACACTATATGTCCTCTCATTACTGTTAAGAGGACCTCCAGAATAGCTGGAGTGATATTCAAGTTTTAAGTAATAATTTAACATTTTTACCTTTTAGTAAGTCATTGTAATAACCTCCGGTTAGCTTAATCTTACTACCCCTCCCGGTAATCAAGTGGTACTTAAGAGATAATAATGGCGTGGTCCCGATACTTTTATTATTAGTGTAAAAAATAATTTTATTCTCTTGTATATTTTGAATATCACTAATTCCGTTTTCCCCCATCTACTTCTACATATGCTGTTGAAGGGCTCTTGATCCAGAGAATTAGAGGTACCTTCCAAATCTTAGGATTAGGTCTGACTACCTCCCGTTCCCTCGTGCGTTGTAATGACCCTTATGAGATTAAGGCTTCCTAGTGAATGTATTAATAATTTCTACAAGGTGTCTTCTTCACCTATGTATTAAGGTGACAGGTAACCATTTCATGACAGTTTGTGAAGGCTTGACGGGTGATGAAGGCTTAACAAGCACTGAAGGCTTGGCAAGTAGGTAAGGCTTGACAAGTGGTGAAGGCTTGACAAGTGGTGAAGGCTTGACAAGTGGTGAAGGCTTGACAAGTGGTGAAGGCTTGACAAATGGTGAACGCTTGACAAGTGGTGAAGACTTGACAAGTGGTGAAAGCTTGACAAGTAGTTAAGGCTTGACAAGTAGTTAAGGCTTGACAAGTAGTTAAGGCTTGACAAGTGGTGAAGGCTTGACAAGCAGTGAAGGCTTGACAAGTAGTGAAGGCTTGACAAGTAGTTAAGGCTTGACAAGTGGTGAAGGCTTGACAAGTATTGAAGGCTTGACAAGTGGTGAAGGCTTGACAAGTGGTGAAGGCTTGACAAGTGGTGAAGGCTTGACAAGTAGTGAAGGCCAAGTGGTAAAGGCTTGACAAGTGGTGAAGGCTTGACAAGTGGTAAAGGCTTGACAAGTGGTGAAGGCTTGACAAGTGGTGAAGGCTTGACAAGTATTGAAGGCTTGGCAAGTAGTGAAGGATTGACAAGTAGTGAAGGCTTGACAAATGGTGAAGGCTTGACAAGTAATGAAGCCTTGACAAGTAGTGAAGGCTTGACAAGTAGTGAAGGCTTGACAAGTATTGTGAAGGCTTGACAAGTATTGTGAAGGCTTGACAAGTGGTGAAGGCTTGACAAGTAGTGAAGGCTTGACAAGTGGTGAAGGCTTGACAAGTGGTGAAGGCTTGACAAGTACAGTGAAAGCTTGACAAGTGGTCAAGGCTTGACAAGTAGTGAAGGCTTGACAAGTAGTGAAGGCTTGACAAGTACAGTGAAAGCTTGACAAGTGGTAAAGGCTTGACAAGTGGTGAAGGGATGACAGGTAATAAAGGCTTGTCAGATGCTCATCAAGGGCTGATTAAGACATGAGAGGACCATGTTCTATATATCTGGAGTTAACGCGTAATGGTGTCTGCGGTCGAGTCCAAACATTAAGTTGAATGTATAAACCTTGTGTTGTGTGGGAAACGTTGATTTTTGAGATCTGCATTAAACAGTCTTGTGTGTGTGTGTGTGTGTGTGTGTGTGTGTACACTCACCTAGTTGAGGTTGCAGGGGTCGAGTCCTAGCTCCTGGCCCCGCCTCTTCACTGGTCGCTACTAGGTCACTCCCTGAACCGTGAGGTATATCATACCTCTGCTTAAAGCTATGTATGGATCCTGCCTCCACTACATCGCTTCCCAAACTATTACACTTCCTGACTACTCTGTGGCTGAAGAAATACTTCCTAACATCCCTGTGATTCATCTGTGTCTTCAACTTCCGTGTGTGTGTGTGTATGTATGTGTGATTTGGAAAACCTTTATTCACGAATAATGAGATACACGTCTTGCCTAAAAAAAAATATTCCTCAGATTTAAACACCAAACTATAAATAAAAGAACCAAATACAAAACTGTTTGCTTGTGCTTAACAAGGACAGTAAGTCCTTGATTTTCAGTGTTTTTGTGTAGCATTGTCTCGGTTTATTTGTAAATGATGGATTTGCTTTGTCCTTTTATCCTATCATTGATCCTTCGTCACCTGCTTCATTTATCTTGTCATTGATCCTTTCTTCGTCACCTGCTTCATTTATCCCATCATTGATCCTTTCTTCGTCACTTGTTTCATTTATCGTCATTGATCCTTTCTTCGTCACCTGCTTCATTTATCCCATCATTGATCCTTTCTTCGTCACTTGTTTCATTTATCGTCATTGATCCTTTCTTCGTCACCTGCTTCATTTATCCCATCATTGATCCTTCCTTCGTCATTTGCTTCATTTATCCATCACTGATCCTTTCTTCGTCACTTGCTTCATTTATGTTATCATTGATCCTATCATTAATCCTTTCTTTGTCACACACTTCATATATCCTATCATTGATCCTTTCTTCATTACTTGCTTCATTTATCCTGTCATTGATCATCTCTTAGTCACCTGTTGTTCATTTGTAGAGCTCGTCATTGACGTTAGCGTCAGCAAATACTTCACGCACACATGGTTCATACACGATTTATACATGGCTTATGCATGCCATTTTCCCCCCGAGGATTCGAACTAGTCTTTTAAATGACTCCAGTAGTAGAATGAACTGTTATTTAAAAGATCCCAGCAAACTGTTACAAACGTCTATTAACGTTTCATAATTTATACACGTTTATACGGTGTTTAAACATGGTCTATGATTGGTTTATACGGATTTGTATATGGCCGATACATAATACGGGGGTTAATGTATGGACCATTATCAGTAAACACTTCTCGTATGTCTTACTCATATACTTGATAATGGTCTGGGACGGACCGAAACGTCGTCTAAATTGTGGGTTAGTTGTTAAATGTTCCATCCACGGTATTGTAGCTTTGTGGGTTAGTTGTGGATTGTATTCTTCAAGTGACCAACACAATGGATAGGGACACTGAGGGGTGTGGAGGGACGCTGAAGATGTGGAAGGACGCAAACGGTTGATTGGGCTCCACCACTCCTTGTACTGAATGATCCACAAGAGTTCAGCGCTAAATACAACTATATACGTATATCTATATCATTCATGAGATGAAATAAGGGACAGGCTATGAGGGTCGTACATGCTCGAGGTGGGAGCGAACCTATGGTTTCGTATGACATTTTGGAGCTACTGTTTTTGGATAAGTACATTATGTGCAGGGCCTGATTAAGACATGGGTTTCAGGGGCTGCAGCCCAGGGGCTTCGGCCAGCCGGAGGGCCTCCAGATATTAAGTGAAAAGTGTTCACAGTTACTGCTGCAAGTTTATAGCATGTTATTACATCACGAATATGATGAACTGCTGACAGTTGTGATTATTTTTTCCTTTTGAAAATATCCGGCTCTGAATTTGACCTATTAGTAAGAATTTCTTTACTGGCTTTACTGTAATGTTCAGAACGTGACCAGTCTTTGCTGATCCTGCTAGAGTGCGTAACGACGTTTAACAGTAGCTCCCCCATTAAGGCAGTCCAATAATGGCTGGGTATTGCCCCTTTCCCAGTGAAGGTGGGGAAGGGGGATCATCCATTAAGGCCATCCAGGGGTGGCGGGGGTATATAAATGCCCCTTTCCCTCACTCTTGCCACAGTCAGATTTCCTAGCTTCACAACATAACAGGTAAGCTGAATTTATACTTTTAATTTCCCTCAATTAAGATAACTGAGTACAAGTACAGTGTGCTAAACAAGCTAGCTATTCTTCCCTGTCATATCCCATGACAGGATGGGCTTCACCCAAGAAGTAATGAAATATGTTAGCCTGAGATGAAAGACTTCATCTTCAACTTCAAAAGTTCTCTTCCAGCAAGGTTGAAGCTGCGTTTACACTGGCATCACCGTCAACACGGCTCGACAAAGAGCATTGAACAAATGAGGATAACGTTATACAAAAAAAAATCTATGTGCATATACTGTACACCCTCCTTTATATACATACAAACAAACACCCATACGTATATATATAAACATATACCGACACATTCACTTAAAAAACACGTCCATTACAATTATTATTATTATTATTATTATTATAATCAAGGGGGAGCGCTAAACCCGTATGATTATACAGCGCCTGGGGGAGATGTGAAAAGCATTCAGGCTTAATTCGGGGAACCGGAGCACAGATCCAATTCCCTAAATCAAGAGCCCCTCACCAACATCAAGCATATCATAATATATCTTTACCCATGATGCTCATAACATGGGATCTAATTTGGGAAGATAGACTTTAGGGACGAATATTATTAGGTTGTAAGACAATGCAGGCTTTCGTCTAACAGTGAGTGTGGGACTATTCAGTAAAATAAATTTTAAAAGTATTATATAGTATACCATCTTCTGTGAAGTTGCTTCACCTCTTCATTGTAATTCTAAATTCCCACTAATTAATGTCATCATTATCATCTAGGCTTATCTTATCACGGGCATTAAGAAATTTTGTTTAGCTTCCTACAGATGCTAGTAGTGGACAGTTAATGGGGTCAAAATGGTACTTTGGCATTCAATCGTATTGGATTGTTGACAGTGCGAGTGCAGGCTGAGAGTCGCTAGGCTTTAACATCTTGTGGAAGCCTAGTTGAGAGAGGAAGATTACTGCACCGCAATTAGTGAACAGGATCGAGCCTCCACTACTTCTTGCACTAAATAACCCACACGGGTTTAGGGTTCCACGCAAAAAGGTAATAATTTTAAACAAATTAAATTTTAGACCATAATTAGGCCGTAGATGTTGCCTTAAAGAACTAATCACAGGAAGTCCTGAACCTGTATTCCCTGGAACACAGGCGGGAGAGATACATGATTATATACACCTGGAAAATCCTAGAGGGACTAGTACCGAACTTGCACACGAAAATCACTCACAACGAAAGCAAAAGACTTGGCAGACGATGCAACATCCCCCCAATGAAAAGCAGGGGTGTCACTAGCACGTTAAGAGACAATACAATAAGTGTCAGGGGCTCAAGACTGTTCAACTGCCTCTCAGCATACATAAGGGGGATTACCAATAGACCCCTGACAGTCTTCAAGCTATCACTGGACAAGCACCTAAAATCGGTACCTGACCAGCCGGGCTGTGGCTCGTACGTTAGATTGCGTGCAGCCAGCAGTAACAGCCTGGTTGATCAGCCTTTGATTCACCAGGAGGCCTGGTCACAGACCGGGCCGCGGGGGCGTTGACCCCCGGAACTCTCTCCAGGTAAACTCCAGGTAAACAATAGGTCTGGTCGGGTCATCATCTGACTAAGACCCGCATCAGGAAACATTTGTCCTGTTTCCTGACGAACCTTACCTAACCTAACCTACTAGCGGTACAGCCATTCATTTAATTTCTTAAATTCATAGCTTGCCCTCGAAAGCTGATAATTTTGTCTTGTTCTGCTGACTGCAGGACTTAATTGTGAACACACTCATGATAGGAATCAGAAGTCAACCATTCTCTCTCTCTCTCTCTCTCTCTTAATGAGATGTGCTGGAATTACTTAATTTTATTCAACTATTGAAATATTTCACTACTACAGTGAGGTCTTTAATAATGTATTAACATAAGTTATAAGCTCCATAACAAGTATGAATCTCGTATTTAAAATAAGACTACAAGTTGTTGGGATGTTTATAACTGTCCTAGCAAAAGACTGAGGTTTAACATCATTATGTACTTATGTGCTGTGAAAACTGGTCTAGGCTTCCCTCTGTCTTGGCCCATTTTCAAGATATTAACTGTTTTATTCAATATACTGTGATCCCTTATGTACAAAGACTTATGTATAGGTAGGGGATAAATTTAGTTTTAATACACTGGTACTATTTTGAGAGGGATCACATACAAATTGTACATACGATATCTTGTCTTTATTTTTAGCTGCTATGACATCGAATCATTGTAAGAAGGATAATGCATATACGACAGTGGGTCTAGCTCTTCCCTGTGAAGGCAATATTAATAACCTCCTTACATTTTCGACAGCATCATGTGTCGTGTTGTCCTCGCCCTGACGCTGGCCCTCGCCACCCTCGCCTCCGCCCGTATGGCTTACGTTCTTCCTGCAGATGCCGAGGTACTCCTGAGGGCGCGCACCCTCCAGACAACCTTCTCCTGCGACAACCGCCCCTACGGTTACTACGCAGACGTCGATAACAACTGCCAGATCTTTCACATCTGTCTCGCCCTCACTGACGACACAGGAAGCCTTCTTGAAACGGCCCACTTCTCCTTCATTTGTGGCAACCAGACTGTCTTCAACCAGGAGTCCCTCGCTTGCTCACACCCCGAGGACGCTGTACCTTGCGAAGAGGCCGCTACACTCTATGATCTCAGCAACTCTGAGTTCGGAGCCAACCCTGAGGAGAGATAAACACTTTGAAAACAATCACAAATAATGAAGATATGCGATGTACACAATCTTTGACTGGGACAAGGTGTGTCTCTCAACTGACGAACTTCTGAACCAAGCGATAAGTTGTCCCAATAAAAGCTCTTAAGCAACATGTGTCTTTTCTTCACAATTATCGGCAGTAAACCATTCGAATCAACCCGTAAATAAAAACCACGTTTAACCAGTGTGTAACACAAACTAAGTCTGTGACAGTTCAACATTTAACTAAGATTATTTTTTTTTACTTCACCACTACACAAGATCCAATGTGTAAACAAAGTACCATACATGTTGCTTTCAGCAGAAGTTACCCAACTGTTTTTGTTACCCTCTTCCTGCCCTGACATTGTTCATCGATGTTTTATACTTGCTGCAAACCATATCTTTCAGTTCCCCTTAAGAAGTTAAAATACACTGAACCAAAAAGCATTGTTGCCAGAAATCATACATAGATGAAAAAATTGTTGGTTCTTGAGTTAAAAATTTGTTCAATGGCTATTTATGTAAATAAATATTTATATATTAATAATGTGTATTATTTACGTTGATATACATACGTGTATATATATATATATATATATATATATATATATATAAATATATATATATATATATATATATATATATATATATATATATATATATATATATATATATAATTGGGAGCGATAATAATTTTTATAATAAAGCAGGTATGTAATAACAATGTGACTTTTTAAAAGGTGATTAGTAACAGGAGAATCAATATATCTCCTATAATTTCCTTATTCATTGTAAGAAGTTAATTAAGTAAAGTGGAATTATTGTAATTGTGGAAAATTACATTTATCTGTATGTATCATTATGTACATAACAATAAATGAACATAGTTATTATTTATCAGTTAGACAAGTAGGAATTTGGGACACCTAGGTCGCAAAAATGTTCCCCTTCGATACCTACCACTGTCATATCCACAAGTTGCTCTGGACCTATTAATTACAAATGAAAATACATCACCAGGAATGCTGGCAAATATATAAATTTGTGGACTGTATATTAAAAATAATAAGATTATATATATATATATAATATATATATATATATATATATATATATATATATATATATATATATATATATATATATATATACATACATAACAGAAGGAGAATATATCTTAATATCACTCACCAATTTGACTGGAAATTAATGTGTATCATACTCAGAAAACCTCACTGTCTATACTTGAAATAACACTGGCCAGAGTTAAACATAACAGACTTATCTGAGGTTCCTGGAGCTGTCTTGTCCAGTCGCCTGATATCTCAAGTTATGCAGGAATGCACATCCAGCAATTTCGCGTCCTATTTGAGAGGTGTCAACCCAATTTTAACATCTAGAGCACGAAAAATTCTTCCCATTATACACTACCGTTAGTGTCCAATTCAAACAAAATGGCGAGTCCTTCTGCGCAGGTGCAGAAAATTTCCCATTTTTTATGACAAATATTATTAAATACAGTATGGCCATCTATTTACATATAACTACTGTATTTCTGGAAAATATATACGATATTTTCCACAGTAATATTAATTAATATTCTGATGAGGATAACTTATTACACACTTAGAAATATCACTAAATTTCAATAAAATATATGTACAAAATATGCGAGTAGAGGGAAGAAACAAAGATGGAGATACGGGAAGAATGAACCGGCGAGTTTGTGATTATTTATCGAACTTAATAGTGACCGATAGAAATATTATCGGCAATTTTTTCACTGCAAGTGAAGAGGAAATACATCTGGAAGGGTCCTAATAATAAAATGGCAGAATATGGATGGAAAACAGGATGCGGTAGCTGAATGAGACGCCTTATTGTCTATCGAATGTATCATCTAATGATTAATGTATGTTTCCCAGTGTGTATTATAAACCATACAACAGGTAAGGTTTCTAGATACTGGCCAATTTTCTAGTTGATTTCCTTGTGGGATACATCACCAAGGTCATATCCACATAACTTCTTTACAATTATATATTTCACTTAATTCACCAGTTTTACTGGCGTATATTTTCATAATATACAGGAACCATATGTTCCTAATCCAGGGTCCCGGAGTTAGTTGG